CCCATTCTGCGACAGCACAGTCTTTCTTCCACCCCTGATTCCCCGTTTCCATTCAACCAGCTCCTAACCCTCTGCCTTCTCATCTCACCTCCAGACAGAAGCTGCCCGTTTAGTCTCCTGTATCTACTTGAGATAAGAAGTACACTCTTCACGAGTATCATTTTATGTCCCACAGTCCAGTCCAATCTTTGTCTGAAGAGTTGGCCTCGGAAATTGTTTAGTTCAGGGCTGATAGAGAATCCGGGGGCCATGCTTTCTGGGGTTCCACCATTCTCAGTCAGACCATTAAGTGTGGTCTTTTTACTACAATTTGAGTTCTGCACCCCACCTTTCTCCTGCTCCATCAGGGACTCTCTCTTGTGTTCCCTGTCGGGGCGGTCATTGGTGGTAGCCGGGCACCATCTAGTTCTTCTGGTCTCAGGCTGATGAAGTCTCTGGTTTATGTGGCCCCTTTGTCTCTTGGGCTAATATTTTCCTTGTGTCTTTGTTGTTCTTCATTCTCCTTTATCCCAGGTGGTTGGGACCAATTGTACATCGTTAAATTTCTTGACTGCTGTTTTCATGGGCGTTGATTGTGGATCCAAATAAAATGAAATCCTTGACAACTTCAGTCTTTTCTCTGTCTATCATAATGTTGCTTATTGGTCCAGTTGTGAGGATTTTTGTTTTCTTCATGTTGAGGTGTAATCCATACTGAAGACTGTAGTCTTTGATCTTCATCAGTAACTGCTTCGAGTCCTCTTGGCTTTCAGCAAGCAATGTTGTGTTATCTGCATGTTGCAGGTTGTTAATGAGTCTTCCCCCAACCTTCATGCCTCATTCTTCTTCATATAGTCCAGCTTCCTGGATTATTTGCTCAGCATACAAACTGAATAAGTATGGTGAAAGAATACAACCCCGATGCACATCTTTCCTGATTTTAAACCATGCAGTATCCCCTTGTTCTGTTGGACCGACTACCTCTTGGTCTATGTACAGGTTCCACATGAGCACGATTAAATGTTCTGGAATTCCCATTCTTTGCAATGTTATCCATAATTTGTTATGATCCACACAGTTGAATTCCTTTGCATAGTTTCTGGTATTCTCTGCTTTCAGCCAAGATCCATCTGACATCGCAATGATATCCCTTGTTCCACATTGTCTTCTGAATCTGGCTTGAATTTCTGGCAGTTCCCTGTAGATGTACTGCTGCAACCATTTTTGAATTATCTTCAGCAAAATCTTATTTGCATGTGATATTAATGATATTGTTGGATAATTTCTGCATTCTGTTGTATCACCTTTCTCTGGAATGGGCACAAATATGGATGTCTTCCAGTCAGTTGGCCAAGTAGCTGTCTTCTAAATTTCTTGGCATAGATGAGTGAGCATCTCCAGCGCTGCACCCATTTGTGGAAACATTTCAACTGGTATTCCGTCAATTCCTGGAGCCTTGTTTTTCACCAGTGCCTTCAGTGCAGCTTGGGCTTCTCCCTTCAGTACCATTGGTTCTTGATAATATGCTACCTCCTGAAATGGTTGAATGTTAACCAATTCTTTTTGGTACAGTGCCTCTGTGTATTCCTTCCATCTTCTTTTGATGCTTCCTGTGTTATTCAATATTTTCCCCATAGAATTCTTCAATATTGCAACTCGAGGCTTGAATTTTTTCTTCCCTTCTTTCAGCTTGAGAAATACTGAGCGTGTTCTTCCCGTTTGGTGTTATATCTCTAGGTCTTTGCACATGTCATTATAATACTTTACTTTGTCTTTTCTAGCCACCCTTTGAAATCTTCTGTTCAGCTCTTTTACTTCATCATTTCTTCCTCTCACTGTACTCTACATTCAGGTTTCAGAGTCTCTTCTGACATTGATTTTGGTCTTTTCTTTCTTTCCTGTCTTTTTAATGACCTTGATTTTTTCATTATAATGTCCTTGATGTCATCCCACAACTCGTCTGGTCTTCGGTCATTAGTGTTCAATGTGTCAATGTGTTCTTGAGATGATCTCCAAATTCAGATGGGATATACTCAGGGTTTTACTTTGCTCTCATGGACTTGTTTTAATTTTCTTCAACTTCAACCTGAACTTGCATATGAACATTTGATGGTTTGTTCTGCAGTCGGCCCCTGGCCTTGTTCTGACTGATGCTATTGAGCTTTTCCATTGTCTCTTTCCACAGATGTAGTCAATCTGATCCCTGTGTATTCCATCCAGTGAGGTCTACATGTATGGTCACTGTTTATGTTGTTTAAAAAAGGTATTTGCAATGAATAAGTCATTGGTCTTGCAAAATGCTATCATACGATCTCCAGTATCATTTCTATCACCAAGGCCGTATTTCCCAACTACTGGTCCTTCTTTTTTTCCAACTTTCGCATACCAATCACCAGTAATTATCAAAGTATCTTGACTGCATGGGGCAAGATGAGGAGGGCCGAATAAGGACAAGGCAGTGAGGAGGGGGCAGCTGCATGGTGAGCCTGTGAAACACCCACCCCACACGGTGGTCAGAGCTCCTGTGTTTTACCCTGGGATGAGGCTGGGTGAATGGGGTCAGGGCTCTCTCTCCCTCGGGATGAGGCTGGGTGAATGGGGTCAGGGCTCTCTCTCCCTCTCTCTTCCTCTCTCTCCCTCATTCTCTCTCTCTCTCTCCGCTCTCTCTCTCTCTGTCTCTCTGTCTCTCTCTCTCTCTCTCTCTCTCTCTCTCT